ATAGAATTTGGACGAAGAAACATTTTTGGGGCTCTCAGTTGGCTTCTTCCCATTATTTTTGCCCTGAAATGGATCGGGCAAGATTGTGAAACGTAGAAATCAAGTTTGATGACCCAATTGATGTTTGCAAGTGGCAGACGGGGTCTGGGCTTTGGATCCCAAAATAGATGACAATATCAATAGAACCCTATTGATCATTAAAGTGGTAGCGCAGAAGTTCCATTAACTCTTGTTTCTGGAATAGATCGTCATTATTATCTAAAGCCGGCTCAGATATCGCAGCCTCGTTAGGTCTCAGTTGCGAAGTTGACGTCTTCAAATCTGATCTGGAATGTAAAGTACAGATTTGGCCAAGATTCTAAAGTGAGAAAGTGAACTCAAAAATGCCCTTCTACAAGCCGTTGCTTAGGAAAAACGGCCCTTAAAATCGCTTTTACGTGACGACGTAAGCAGATGGCCAGGCTCCCTCCGAGTCTATACCACCTGTCGGCCTTAACCGAGAGGTTTCGGTGGTGAGGCTGAGTTAAACAGGGACTGACCTCGTCTCAGATCCGGCGTGACCAGAGGCAGGTAACTGATGGAGGTGCAATTCCAGCGTCGATCGCGGAAGGTTCGGGGACAATAGTAGGCGACGGCCTGGGCCGATTTGAGCGCAGCGTGCATGGCGTACCGACGTCGTTCGTCCCTACAGAAGCGCAGTTGTCGCCGACGCAGGCCGTAGCGGTAGCTCGAGTAAACACATTCGGCCTCACTGAAGTGGTCCAACTCGCGCGATTTTTCTCGAGCATACCGATAGATGCCACTGCAGTGGATTGTAGCATGCACGGTTGAGACGTGATGAAGATTCACACAGAGGAGATGCATTAAAAGAGAGAAAGACACATGTAGAAGCACCAGAGAACGATAGGAAAGTCGGCACAACTAAACCTCAGACGAGATCGGCCATTTCCGTCAGAAATCGTCAGTTCACTTTCAAAGTTGCAAAAAATATAAACATTTTGCGCTACTATAAAGGATCTAATTAACTTTAGCTTGCAACTATGTCGTGTGAATCCGTAGGAGTGGATTTTACTGCTGTCCAATAGGAATTTATGCAAAGCCGGGATTTGCATTGATGTTCTCGAAGCCATTTATCCCAAAAAGAAGTTCTCCGACGGCTTAGATCGCTTCATGCTTTCAGTTAACCAATGTGAAAGAAGCATTCGGGTCACAATGAGAATAGAGAAGAATAGGTTCTTACCTTTTTCGATGTTCTGGTTATTAGAGAAGAGAGTAAGTTAGGCAGATATTTTTATAGGAAGCCAAAATATGTCGGATTCTTTCTGAATTTCATTTCCAAACATAATTACAAAACTAAAGTTGACATCTTAAAGTCAATGAGTATTGGGAGTATGAGAATAGCGGATAGTAACCATTTAACGAAAGAGTCACAACGGCTGAAAGATATATTCCTGGAAAATAATTATCCTTTTTGGCTTAATTGATAATAATATATATTTGTAGATACGAAGATAAACTTGGTTTCGATGAATCTCCTGTTAGGGGGAACTTCATTTCGAATAAAAGTGCATGAGGAAGAGATTCGTTGGTCGATCTCACCAGATGAGGACGGATGAAACTCGTTGTACCGCAGTCGTTTAGCTTTCATATTATATTCATGTTAAAGCAGTCCGCGAGACGAGGCAGGTAATAGTTTCGACTAGATCTAATATAGACTATCAAGATTGGTAAATCTTTACTGAGAAATAAATATAGACAAGTTGAGACCTTTTCTCATGTTCTAATTTTGTCAGCATGCTTGTTTTAAAGAAGATAGGCTATACATTTTAGTTTTGAAAAAAGTCAACTTGAGACTTTTACATGAATGAGTTACAGCTCTGGTGATGTCCATCAGATGATGGACGAAAGCCCAGCCCGAGGGAGGATATCTTGTAGACTGCGTCAACCTGAACGTTGAATTAAAACCAAACATGAGATGTA